ATCATGTGTCTGAGGCTGGATTTGAACTGAGGTCCTCCTGACTCCAAGGCCGGTGCTCTATCCACTGCACCATATAGCTGCCCCTATTTCGACTTTGTTTTTTTAGAAATTTTTTGTTATTTCATAGAGCCATTTACTTCTATTTGGCATATTCTAATTTTCAATAGTGTGTTGCTTGGGTAAAGTTTTATACATCTGGCCCTAAATTGGTAATTCTTTTTTCCAACTCTTTCCTCTATAGCTCTCACTCTTTTCCATTTCTTTCCTCCAGTCCTCTCACTTAACCTATAAAATCACTTTTAATTCTTTTTTTAAACATCTTGCATCTTTTCTTTTATGAATTCCTGCTGCACTTTTGCCAAAGCTATGTTTTTCTTTGAGACTTTACTTGATGTTTTGAAGCAGTGATATACAATAAAATTTAATTCTCTGGCTCTCTGGTGAAAAAATACATATGTGACACACTTTTATGTTTAATCTATATAATTAACTTTTTTACCATCATTTTGTTAAGTCTAGACAATCAATAATAAATTAATCTCTGATTTTTAGTGTTAGCTAATTTTTGAGGTGTAAATTCTCACACTGAAAATTTAACAATTGGCTCTCACTAGCCAGTTCAAGCTGGCTCCAACAAATCCCTGTTTTGGTAGCATTCTCTTTTTCTGGGCTTTTAATAAAAAAATAGTAAATTCAGGAGAAATGAAGAGGCAGGCATGCTAATACTCTTGGTGGACTTATGAGTTGATTCACTCCTTTTGGTAAATAATTTTGATTGTGTAAGAAAAGTCACTAAAACATTCATATATCTTGACACAGTGATCCCACTACTGGACAGACAGAAAGAAAGGTTGCATACACATCAAAATTTTCATAGTAGAAATTTTTGTTGAAGTAGCAAAAACTGAAATCAATTAAGGTTTCCATCAATTGTGGAACAGCTTTTAAAATTGCATTACATATATTTAATGGAAAGTTTAAAATATATAAAGAATTCATAAAAACATGGGAAATCTTATATAGATTAAAGCAAAGAATGGAAAATAGAAAGAGGACAATATACACACTTATTAAAATATTGTAAATGAAAATCACATTTAAAAATAGCTTGACTCCAATTAGCCAATTTTGTCCAAGAACAGATGATGAAATACAATTTCTTTCTTTTGGCAAAGATGTGGGGAACAGCAGGTAAAAAACTTTGCATGTACTATCTATGAGGCTACTGTGGCATTTAACTATTTTGTCTTTTTTGCGGTGAACAGTTTTATGTGAGAGAGTTATACTAGGAAATACTGAAAGGCAACAATAAAACTTCTAAAACTAAGAATAATAATTTCATTGCTCCACTCAGTGTCATTGTAACAAAAGGTCTCTACAATCCTAAAAATGCTATATAAATGTAATTGTGGGTTGGCTTTCACATGCAGCATGTTGAATTGATACAATCCCATGTGTGGAAGGGTTAAGTGTCTTGCTTCCTGATTTGGAGCATGTAGAGACATTCTGTAACTGTTTTCAGTCTCCTAACTACCTTATTAAAAGAATTTCTGTGCTCTTGATTGTGTAGATAGCCAGAACCAGGGTGAATTCAGAAGGCATTGACTAGTAAAAGTGAAGCTTTCCTTAGCTCTGTCTTTCAGGCTTCTCTACAACTTATGTGAGAGAGGCAATGATGTAAGGGGGGATTCCTCCTCATCCAAGGCTGACCTTCGGCCTGTGAATAAAGGCCCCTATTCTTTGCTTCTTTTCTTTCATTCTTTTCTGTTTTAAGTGAAGAAGGTTGAGGTTGGCTACGACCTTATGAGTTTCAAAATGTTGGGAGAGTGAACCACTAGAAGCCTGGACACTGTAGTCCCTACCGGGATTTACTGAAAGCCTAATGATGATAAGGAATGAAGTGCTGAGTGGCTTATTTGATCCAACCTAGTGGAAGCAGGTATGCAGACTCGGCCGTGATACATATGGAAGTGAACTTGGTTGAGTGAATGATATGTAGGAAATGCATCAAGTCTGAGCCCACTCTTGCCAGGGATTGAGGTGGCACTGGGGAGAATGTGATCCTATACTGGATATTGGGGAGAAATGTTTGTACTTTCTATTCTTACTATATCTGCAAAGTAAATATTTCTTTGTAAAATCTAATTAATGTTAATTGATTAAATGAAACTGGGATACTAAACGTTGGTGGTTAACAGTGAGGAAGGAAAACCACAGAATATGGTCTCGAGGTGATGGCATTAAAGAAAGATACCCTCCTTTCCCTTCACAGTAAATCTAGATCTCTGAGGGCTTGGAATATATAGCCAGCTTTGATCTGAGAGAGTGAGTTCAGAATCATTGCTACATAAATGAGTTATTTTTATTATTGCTAACATAGCTAGTATTTACATAGCACTTTAAGGTTTAGAAAGCATTTTATATATGCTATCTCATTTTATCCTCACAAAAACCCTGGGAAGTAACTGCTATTATTATCCCCATTTTACAGATGAGGAAATTGAGGCTGGGGTCACACAGCTAGTAAATATCTAAGGCAACATTTGAACTCAGGTCTTCCTAACTCCAAGTCCAGCACTCTACCCACTGTGATGCCCCCTAACTGCCAAATTTAATGGCCTATTTTCAGTCCTCATTTATCTTTCCCTGTTTCCTCATGACTGAAACTTTGGCCTTATATTCGAGCCTTCCTTGCCTCTCAAATCTAAGCTGACACTCATTCTGCTCTATTTCACCTCTGCAACATCTTCTGTATATGCCCCCTCCTTTCTACTCCCATTGCCACTTCTAAGGAGTCTTCCCACCTCCAATCTCTTCCTACTCCACTCCTATTTCATGTGGCTACCAGAATCATCTTTCTTAGAAACAGATCTAGTCTTATCCTTCCTCTTCTTAAAATCTTTCTTACCAAGTAAAGTTCAGACTTCTTTTCTGGGCTTTCAAGACCTATCACAATCTGACGCTACCTTCCTTTGCAAGCTCATTTTATTTATAGACACTATGCTTCAACCAAACTAATCTAATCTGTCTCCTAAACGTTACCTACGTTTTCCTATTTCATTGGAAGGTATCTGCAGATGGAATGTATTAGATGTCTGAAATGAGGGTGAGAGAAAAGTCAAAGACATAAAGTCTTTAAGTTTGACTAAAGGGTATGATTAAGTGTCACCAATAGGACTAGACACATGGAGAGAAGGACAGGTTTAATGTGGAAAATAATGAATTCCTTTTGGAACATGTTGAGTTTAAAGTGCCGGTGGGACCTCCACGTCCAGCAATCAATTGGAACCTAAATTCTCCAGTCTATCCACCACTCATTTACCAACTTAATCTTGCCAAAATGGAGGTCTGACTATATCACACACCCCTTCCACACACACAAACACATACACACACCCATACGCGTCAATAAACTCCATTGGTTCCCTATTACTTACAGGATCAAATGTGAAATCTTTTGTTTAGCCTACTCCTGCCTTTCAAGTCTTTTTACAACTTGCTCCTGATCCAGTGACACTGGCTTCCTTGATGTTCCTCACACTGGATATTCCAATTTCCCAACTGCATTTTCATTTACTGTTACTCCATGCCTGGAATTCTCTCCCTTCTCATCTCTGTTTCCCTCCTGGCTTCTATTAAGTCCTCAGCTAAAGTCTTACCTTCTTCAAGAAGCCTTTTCCAATCATCTTTAATGCCAATGCCTTCCCTCTATTGATGATTTCCAATTTATCCTGCATATACCTTGTTTGTACGTAGTTGTTTGCATGTTGATAAATTAAATGATAAGCTTTTTGAGAGCAAGAACTGTGTTTGCCCTTTATTTGTATCCCCTGTGCTTAGCACAGTGTCTGGCTTTTGTTTTTTGTTCAGTCATTCAGTCACATCTAACTCTTTATGACCCCATAGACCCTTGCACACCAGGTCTTTCTATCTTCCGCTATCTTTCAAAGCCTGTTCAAGTTTGTGTTCATTGTTTCCAATGCTACTCATCTCATCCTCTGCAGTCCACTTTTCCTTTTGCCTTCAATCTTTCCCAACATCAGGGTCATTTCCAATGAGTCCCATCTTTTCTTTATATAGCCAAAGTATTTAAGTTTCAGCATCAGTATTTGTAGGTGCTTAATAAATAGTAATTGTCTGACTAAATCTATGTCCCTGACACTTTCATCCATCAATCCTTTTACTCTTCTTGAGCTATGTAGCATAACTTGAATTCCTTCATTACATGTCAGCCCTTCAATTATCTGAGGACAGATATCTTTTCATGTTTTCACTGTCTTCTCTTCTCCAGATAAAACACCTCCATTTCCTTCGACCAGGTCTTGTTTTGTTACCTTCTCTTGAATATACAGTGGTTTATCCACTTTATAGGAAGCAGGATAAAGCATATTTGGGCAGCAAATCCAAAATCCTGATCCCTAATTCTCAAGTTTAACCTGCACAGGAAACTTCTAAGAGCCAGACAGGCAAAGAGAGCTTTAAAAGGACTGGCAGGCTTTCTGAAACCAGATATAGCAGGCATGTGTCCCTAAATATCAGAACAGACACTATAATTACTCTGAAAAGCCTTTTAGTGAAACCAAGAACTATAAATAGCCATAAGAGCCCAAGCAAGTGGCTTTAGCCCATAGATTTCCTTCTAAAAATGCAGACCCATTTTAATTAAATTTGGAGAGGGCAGTTCTTCCCTGGACTTCACTTTGCTCCTGGAAAACACTGTGAGTAATTTCCTTTTTGTCAAGTATTTGGAGATTATCACTCACAGTGCTAAAGCTGGGAACATTGGGACAAGTTCTGTCCCATGCAGAGTATAATTAGCCATGCTGGAGAATCCCGGGGAGACAAAGAAGGTGCCCAGAAGGACCTGCCTCTGAAACCTCTGGGCAGGCAAGGCCGCTACTGGGATGCATTGCTAGATTTGGTCCTACATAATCTTTGTAATATAAATGAAGTCTCTTTTTGAAACTAATTGTACTTTCTTCTCACCACCACCCCTGAAGAGCAAGATGGGGATTATGGCTGTGCTCATGCTGCCTCTGCTACTTCTGGCAATCAGTGGGATCCTCTTCATCTACCAAGAAGTTTCCAGGCTGTGGTCAAAGTCGGCAGTCCAGAACAAAGTAGTTGTGATTACTGATGCCATTTCAGGGCTAGGCAAAGGTAAGTGCACTCTTCTCACTCAATTTTCTTTCTGTCCTCTGGGGTTGGGAGGAAGGGAAGAAGAGAGAGAAGGAAGAGGGAGGATAGGAAGGTGAGAGACATGGAAAATGCTCTTAAGGCAGAAACCAAGTATGCTTGTCTGTAGCACTCCATAAAGGATTTGGTGCAACACTATGAACAAAGTGTGGTAACAAAATAAAATGAAACATAACATAATAAGCAGATCAGAACTTTCACATGCACAGTATTAGGCCCCTTCAATAGAATCCTTTCACTGAGGCCACACACTCACTACAATGATACTGACATTTCTCAAAACATGTCTAAAATACTTCTTTGGGAATGTACCTCAATCATTACTACTCCAGAACTTCAGAAGATACCTGATATAAGCTGTAAGGGCACTGGGGGACTGCTTCCACAAAAAGAGATCACAACCTCCTTCACACCTTAATGTATAGCTTTTGGAAGTTGCTATGGCTGAAAAAAATCCATCAGTTGGTGAGCAGTCTTCTGGCCTAATTAGGCTGGTCCTCTGAAGAACCTGCTGGTACAGGGTCCATCACTTGGTCTCTGGTTGGAAGGTTTTCCAGCTTTGTAGTGCCTGCTGGGGCTTTTACTCTGCAAACTAGCCTGTAAGAACCCAGAGCTACCTCCAAGCAAGTGAGAGGGGTGTGTGTGTGTGTGTGTGTGTGTGTGTGTGTGTGTGAAGCTCATCAAGTTTACAGATATCAAGCTGGGAAGAACAGCTAATGTACCAGATGACAGAGTCAGGATCCAAAGGAAACTGGAAAGGATAGAGCATTGGGCTGCAAGACTAAATCTAACAGGGATAATAAACACTTAGGTTTTGGTACAAAACGTCAACTTCACAAGATACAATGGGAGAGGAATAATAATGCAGAAATTGTTCTGAAAAAGATTTTGTCATTAGAGTGGACATTAAGCTACATATGAGTCAGAAGTATAATGTGGCATGTGAAAAAAATTATTGATATGTTGAGCTGTATTAAGAGAGTCAGACCTTCTAGGAACAAGGCACATTAATTCCATCATATTCTACCCTCACAAATAGATCAGTTAACAAGCATTTATTAAGTACTTACTATGTGCCACATGCTGGCCATCCAAAACAAAAAAAAAAGCAAAACCAGTTCCTATTTTAAGGAGCTTACATTGTAAAGGGGAAGATAATTTATGGAAGTCAGCATACATGATAAATGCAGATTAAATGGAAGGTAATCTAAGGAGATTGCACTAGCAGCGGGGAGTCTAAGATAGGCCTCCCAAAGCAGACAATACTTGAATATAGTCTTAAATAGAGCCAGAGATGCTAAAAGTCAGAAGTTAGGAGGGAGAGCTTTCAAGGCATGGGAACACCAGTACAAGGTCATGGAAACAGGAAATAAAATGTCATGTACAAGGAATAGTAAGTATGCCAATATGGCTGAATCATAAAGTCAGTAGAGGTGAATAGAACGTAAGAAGTTTGGAAAGGGACGAAGGGGCCAGGTTGGAAAGAGGACTTTATATTTGATCCTAGCGGTAATAGAGAGCCACAGGTGTTTATTGAGCTTTGGAGAGGCATAGTCAGACCTTCACTTTAGGAGAATCACTTAATGATTCCTAATGGAGAATGGATTGGAGTGGGATTAATTTGGGATTGGGAGACCAATTAAAAGCTTATTGCAATTGTCCAGGTGAGAGGTGATAAGAGCTTGAACTACAGTGGTGGTTGTGTGAATGGAAAGAAGGGTGTATGGGAGATATTATACATGATTTGATAACTAATTGTCTCTGAGTGGTGAGCAAGACTCCGCAATGAGTAATAGGGAATCAATCATGGAGGAGAAAGTAGGATTGCCATGATGTCATGAGGGTCCAATTGAAATTAGCTGTGTCAGTATAGTTTTCTCACTTCCTACAATTCCATTCAATAGTACATGAACAGGAGCAAAGAATTATGGGAGTAAATCAGGGTTGGGCTTTATAGTCCACAATAGGGCGAGAGAACAAGGCGTTCAAGAGTAGAAGATAGCATAGGGTTGATTTGGTTCACCAAGGAGTTGAAATAGAAAAAGGAGGAAAGTATAGCCATTGTAAGGAGTAAAGAAAACTGAAAGATGGAGGGATTGGAGCTCATGGTGAAGACCTCATGTGGAGTTATGTGTTAAGTTCTGGGTGCAATGGTTTAAGAAAGAAAAGAAGGAAAGAAGGAAGGAAGGAAGGAAGGAAGGAAGGAAGGAAGGAAGGAAGGAAGGAAGGAAGGAAGGAAGGAA